CTGTCCTGCTCTTCCTCAATTTCAGTCCAGCCTAGCTGCCATAAGAATCCGGCACTAAGTCCCATCAATTCCCCAACTAATTCATCCACTACGTAAGCTAAAGACTGATCCTATTTTCACTATCGAGTATCAACTATTGGCAAGAGAATCCCAGCTTTCCAACATCATGTTTTTACAAGTTCTATAGCAAGTTTGACTAAGCTTTTAAAATCTGCTTACTTAGAGAAGTGCTTTTGTAAGAAGTATTTCCAAAAAAAATACTTTTGGTTCGAAAGGTTGCCCCCAGAGTAATAGTTTGTGTTCAGATGATCAATTTGAAAAGCACTTTTGCCACTACTAGAGCAGAAATTTCTGCTTGGCCAAAATTCCAAAAGTGCTCCAGGGAAATAACTACTTTGTTCAACTTCTGCTACAACTAAAGCACTTTCCTAAAAGATGTCAAACACCTTTTAAAACTAACAAAAACAACTTTTTAACTTTCCAGAAGCTTGGCCAAACAGGCATTACCATGTCATGGTTTTTGTATTGTGTAAGAGTAGTAAAAGCATTTGAACTTATAAAAAGCACTAGCAAAAGCATTTAACAAGTATATGTATACACCAACAATCAATCATATCAGTCTATGAAGCTAATTCTGAAGTGACTTTGCCCTAGTTTTAGTACATGATCAGAATTAGATCCAGAGAACTTCCGAAGTGTCATTCAAACCACCACGATCTTGCAGTAAGGACCGCATTTAATTAGGAGTCTTCAAGCCACTTATTCGTGTTCCTTTTATATTTCACTACCTTGCTAGCCTTGTATAAACTATAGTAGAGATTTCTCAAACAGCAAGTAATAATCATTATCATAACCTAGACAATCGAACCAAAAAACTCACTATTTCCAGCTATGACAAAGCTTCTCTGGCGAAGTGGTTATGCTTTGATCTTATAGTGTGATATCTTAATTTACAAGATCCCAAATACATCAGAAGTCAGAACCATACTAATAGGTAGTAAACCAATATATAGACTTAAAGATATGATGATACAGATATTGCGATAAAGTAAGTTGCTAAAATCACTGCAACAGCTCACTAAACAACTGAAAAAGTAACTGATTATATGCAGGATTTGATCTTAACACTATAAACAAATGCACAAATCTGAACAGGCATGAAAGATTTAAAGTATCTGTGAGTGCCGAAGTAGCATGATTTCAAACACAATCTAACCTGAGAGAAGTTGACAATGACAGGAAGAATATGTGCAACACGATCCTGGGGGTCCAGCAACTTGCCTAGTGCAGCACAGCCCTCAACTGCTAGTAAGCGTACAGAATCTTCATCTGAAATCAAGACACAATAGAGTCACCACAAACACTCAAGTTTATATAATAATCGTATAGAAATTAATTAGAAGAGCTGCGGGGCTATTTACTGCTACAAGTAGTGGGTACCAGACAAGTTGAACCATACATGTCTTAAACTGTGAATGACTAGACTGAATAGTTATAATCATACAGGGCAACTATGAGTTAAAATATTACCGTCCTGTGTAAGATCTTCAAACATTGTCATGATGTCAGTCTTGAGGAAAGCTGGTTCAATGGTAGCAGCAAACTTCCCCAAGTTTGCTGCAGCTGACCTTCTCACCATAGGCATGTCATCTTGAGACAACTGGCCATATATGGACCGGAGCTCTGCCTTTAACATCTCAGGGGAACTTGGGTAAGCAATGTGAAATAGTCCACAAGCAGAAACTCTAGCCGTGAACCACTCACCAGCTGCCAGCCTCTAGTGATTGTGAAAAAGGAAGACATAGGAACAAAATGTAAAAGGTTGATTTAAATACTGTATTTTGTCATTGGCTATGACAAAATATGACAGGACACAGATGAAGTTTTGGCGCGCAATACTCTGAGTTTAAATGTTACTATGAATTTCCAGATTGCAAGGCACTAAATACTTGCAACTAAATGGTCTTTGTAAGTTTGTCTGACTATGATTTCTAAAGTCATGAATAATAGCATTCCTTAGAACAAGTGATGAGATTTAAAATAAACAGTAAAAGCGTGGGGCAAACCTTCACTAGAGAGACAAACCAATCAATCAAATCACTCTCCCTCATCTGGGATCCAATTCTACACAATGACTCCACAGCTTTGTCCCTCACACAGATCTCCTCCACAGTGCAAAGGGTTCCCAAAAGAGGGAGCAACACATGAGCATGCTCCACTCCTCCAACATAAGGAATAAAACCGCCTAACTCTTCTGACATGGCAAGTAGAACCTCATCTTCGTCATCAGTGTTTCTGCACAAAAAGGGGATCAACTCCCTCCTGGTTCTGTCTTCACCAAGTTGACATGCAATAGAAGATAACCTCCTAACAGAATTCAACCTCAATTGAATATCATCATTCTTCAGCTCATCTAATATCATTGGGTACAACAGCAAATGCGCCATTGACAGGTATATTGTGTTTCCCTTACAGCTGCAATTGGAAAGATATATATTGAGAACTACTAAAAGCAAAATGAATCAATGGTGAAAGAAAGAAATTCGACTAGATTTTCGTAACTGCCATACGATGTCTTGACTACTGAGAAATCACAAATCAATCTGACCAAGAATCCTTCTCCACCCCACCCCACCCCCCCAAGATGGAATGAAAAGATAAACACAGTGCAAAAAGGAAAGAGAGAGGAATGAAGAGTAACAAACAGAGTAATTGCACAAGAGAGTAATACATTCCAAGAGAGTGGTTCGTATGGAGTTTGAATCTGAACGAGAGAATGATAAAAAGCTTTGGTTATGCGGCCAAAAAGGAGCTTGTTCATATTTATAAACTCAAAATTTTAGTTCTAAGGGAATGTCAAAGCTATTCAGGTGTAAAAGAAGAGTTTCAATATCCCAGATTCCGCTCCCTGCTACAATCTTCAGAGTAAGTTCAGCTTTCATGGAAGGTTTGTTGGGTTTTATTTGCCCTAATTTCTTACCATAAATAGGTTTTCCTTTTAGAAAAAGGTTTTGGATTGACTAATCTTTTTTCTGGTAGGAAAAGGTTTAGGACTCTATAAATAGAGGCATGTTCCTTCTAACTAAATTAGCATTCACAATGTAGTCTTAAGGGTTTTGAGAGTTTGGTTAGAGGGAGAATTTGTGGGTCACAAGTTTGATACGTTATCACTTGTGTGAACCTCCCATGTATTCTGAGTGAATTGGTTGAGGTTGTTTTCCTCTGTATTTTGTACTCTCATATTTATAGTGGATTGCTCATCTCCTTTGTGGACGTAGGTCGATTGACCAAACCACGTTAAATCTTTGTGTCTTTTGGTATATTTCTCGTTGTCTTCTTACTCGTGGTCTTTCGAGGTTTGCTTTTCTAGCTTCCGCGTTTACACCTGCTTATTTTCGGTCCTAACAAGGTTTACCTGGCAACTGTGCATGTGGGCTGTGGCAGGTAGCCCACTGGATTAATCAATAATAAGATAGGCAACAAACCCTTCGGGGTGGCCCAGTGGTTTGAGCTTGGGACTTCCATGTTGGAGGTCTCAAGTTCGAAACCCCTTGCCAGCGAAAGCAAGGGGTTTGCCTTCTGGGTCGAGCTCGTCGCACCAGGCTTGCCTAGTGCGGGTTACCTCTCCAATGTGGTTTGCGAGCTATTGCATAGGAGCGGGGGGGTTTTACCCTGTCGCACCCAAAGGGTAGCGGCTGCGGGTTTTCCTTTTCATCAAAAAAAAAAACAAGATAGGCAACAAACAAGTTGGTCCACACACCACCATCATTATTAAAAGGGAAAATGGTCAGATTTAACCCGGTACTATCCGAAATCAAGCAACTTTTACCTTGGTCACACTTAGAGTCTAATCTTGCCCCTGCCGTTCGGAAAAAGTCTCAAGTTTTACCCTCAACCCCTAATGGAACTCCAACCTAAAGAACAATGGGGTAACTTTAAACCTTTCTTTTTATTGTTAAGGGGTATATTTAGACCTTCTCCCACAAGTTATTTTGACATATGGCCATTGTAAGCTGGGGCTCCACAAATAGCCAAGCAAATATGATACATTTACTCAGGGCTAAGGCATGAGAGGACCCAAACCGTAACGGAAGTTAAATTGAGCAACTTTGGAATAGTACATTTAATAAACTTAAACCTTTAACAAATCAAAATTTTAACATCTCACTTAAGAAGCATGAAAGTCCATTCTGCAAGTTCTCTGAAAAATGAGATATCCATGATATGAATGAATCTAAATATGATGATTTAAGCTAAACCCTAGCATTAAATCAAAAAGATATAAAAGAAGCAAAACAAACACCCTCGACCTGGAGCTCAAATTGTTAAAGGAAAAAATCCCTACATACTAGAATGAGCTCAATTTCATCTTCCAAAACAAAACAAATCAGCTGCTTCACCATTTTATTGCAATAAAATTAACAATTTCGATCACATTGTTTAAGTTCTACCGGCAAAAGATTTTGATTAACTTGTGTACAAGAAGCAGAAAAGAGGATTACCGGAAATGTGTGTCGCCGGCTGCCGGAGACGTAAAGCCTTTGATATCCGGCGAATTCAAGAGAGAGCTTTTGTTGCCTTCGTTGATTTCAATGAAATGGAAAGTGTTTGGACTGAGCAGACAAAAATGATCAAATGGTTTGCTTAATGTACAAGAGTTGGATTTTGTTCCTTTCTCATGTACAACTAGCTAGAACATGTATATAATACTATTTATTAATTTATCCAGCTTAAAAATAAGTGTTTAAAAGTATTCTAGTATTTTATCTTAAAATTATAAAAATATTTTAAATAAGTTGGTTTAAATAGGCTCTTAATTCACATAATCCATATTTAATATGGGTTAAGTACACTTAACAATGGCATATTATGACTTGTAACTGTAGATAGAGTTTTATACTTTAAAATCAAATCGTTGTATTTGACTTCTATATAATAAAAATACTATATAAATAATATAATCATGATTCAAAAGATCTATATAATAGATTCTCAAAATCTAAAAAAAAAAGATTCTCAAAATTAAAAGAGAATATAGTGTGAGAAAACAAGAGAGGATTAATCTCAACATAAAATTTATAGGCATTAATTACATGAATTGAGTCATCAAAACAATTTTTTTTATGACTGTGAAGTCCGAGACAACTTTCATGGACCTCAATTGAATTCACGGTATACCTACCACCTCCCACCGGCAATTGATATTCCACGGTATACCTACCACCTCCCACCGGCAATAGGTACAGTCCACCAAGGCTAGGACAGATTGGAAATAACTAACTAGTGTTTTCTCGTCTCCGCTAGAAACAAAATTAGCTAGTTTTCATCTTCAAGATCCAAACAAAGGCAGTAAGCAACTAAGCCAACAACTGGAACATATCTGAGATATCTCACTATGTCAGCCTTATCTTCCTGGATGTTTTGCAAGTTATCTCCTATCAACCAAGGTTGGAAAATAATGTAGAGACAAATATCCCAGATGAAGGCATAAGCAAGTCTTTCAGAGGATAGATAGCTGAGCAAGAACTCCCATCTATTAGATATACTGCCAAAATCACCATCTCCTCTCCCATAAAAGGCCCAAAATGTCGAAAGCAAACAGGCAGCTGCACCGACCAGTCCAACAACAGATGCACCACGAGTCATGATCGAACCAAGTTGAGAGGTTGCTCTTGGAGGGTACTCTGAGTCACCCTTGTTTAGCCGAATAGCCATGTATGGAATTAAAAATGCTGCATCGAATTCCAGAAAGCTAATTAATAAGTCTCTTGTCAAACCAAAAACAATTTACAGTAAAAGATGGAGTTATATGCTTGAGAGAGCCAGAAATCGAAACCAGCAAAATAAAAAAGAAGATTGAATAACAATGGACAAAAATATTCAGTGGTAGAATAATAACTCGAATAAGAGGAACTTTAGAAAAAGTTAATTGCAAATAGTTAAAACCCATTCCATCTTAACCATCTAATTCTTTCTCATTCAGTGCTAGCTCCTAGTCACTAATAGAGCGTTCACTTCAGCTACCGAGCAATTCTAATCAAAGCAACTCCAGTATAATCAGGAAATCATTAATAAACGGATACCATTTGCCATCCTATTTTTTGACAGGACACTTACTAAGAGTTCCATCGGGATGGAGGAAACTAACATCCATAACGTTGCACAATCAAAAGTAAGTATTTGAGAAAAGTGCATACTGTTTGTGAGGAACATTTGAAAGCCCCAGAGAAGATCTAGTGATCCCTTGAATCTGTCTCTCTTACGATCACTGAACAGTAAAGGTGCAAACATGAACGTCCAGCCAATTACAAAATTAAACAGTCCTTCAGACATCTGGAATAAAAAACAGAGCCGAATGTCAAAAATGAGATCCACGAAACGAATAAATTTGTATTTTACAAAGTACTTACTGGATGAAGCACCGGTGCCTCTATCAAGTGGATGCCCCCTACTCTGCCAAATGATTCGTTGTTTAAAGTTCAATATCAAATTTATGGTAAGAGGCAGATGGAAAATTGAAATGAAACCTCTGAACTGAATGTACATAAGTAATTAACTGCTTAATCTACAAAATTCTGTGCATCTAAAGCAAGTGATCAAGTTGACACGCGGTGGAAAATCATAAATTCCACATTGCCAGTGTATGAAGAAAGGGTCCTTGAAGTCATGTCTCTAGACTAGAAAAAGAATGGTATGCATACTGGTACAAGCAAACAAATTAAGAAGATGTGAAAGTTGAAACAAAACACCCGATTAAATCGGCCTTTGAAAGAACAACCAATTATGATGGAGGGCTAAGAAATGGTCATTGTTTAATAATCGAACATTTCTGGTTGATATGTTTCAATATTGAGAAATGTGGATGATTAAATAGGTTTATTATTGACCAAACCAAAGGGAAGTTGAGCTCTTAATCAGAATCAGAAATTACACCAGCAAATATAAAGAAACTAATAATCCCTCCGTTTCAGTTTGTTTGTACTATTTTGATATGGCATGGAGTTTAAAAAAAGTTAAGACTTCTGAATCTTGTAATCTAAAATTAAAGATACGTCAAACGTACCAAAATGCTTTTTAATCTCATGGTATAAAACATGTCATTTGGAAAGTTGGAAACCAAAAAGTGTTTAAAAAGGAAAGAGACGTTCTTTTGAAACGCTCTAAAAAGAAAAGTAGGACAAACAAATTAATACGGAGAGATATGTTCAAGAACGAACCTAATTGACTATGAGTCATTAATATCAAAAGCAACAAGACCAAAAATACTCCAAAGTCTGTTGGGGTAAGCGCAAACCACAAAAAAAGTGTAGGCTTTAATGTAAAAAAGCACAAGGCAACCAGAAATACAAACATATATACTAGTCCAAGACTAATGACAAATATATGAACAAAAAAATTGATTTTTTTAATGATAAAGTGAAATATCAATGGTTTAGTGTCGCCTCTTCCGACGAGGAAAGAGGTTCATCGACAAGGAACAGTACGTGTTAGAACCTTGATGACGACACTTAGCCACACATTAAGCGAGGCGAAGCGCTCAACACGTTTTGAGTCTTACTTCAGTGCTTAAGCGTCCCTTCGACAACACTGCTATGAGTGCCAAATTATGCCACTCATTGCTAAAAGGAAGCAACAGAATTATCTGACCAGAAAGGAGTGCAGGCTAATTAGTAAAAGTTTTGTGTAAAACTAATTTGGTAACTAAAGAGATTTCAACATACCAGCATTCAGAAGAGGCAGAATGAAGAAGAAATTGAGGGAGAGACCAACCAAATCATTGACTGTTTCTGAACTAATTGCCCATACAGGATCTCCCTGCATTAATCTTAGCATGTATCATTTTCAATCTAAAGGCTTTTGAAATCCATTTTATTGCACCAATCGAGATTATTAATCATGACCTCAATTATAAACTAAACTCATTCATGTCTCACTTAGCTTCGAAAATTAGTCAAATTGACTCTTGAAAACAAGCTAAAATATGACAATTATTTCGAAGCAGAAGAAATACAGTAATATGAAATGAGAGAGATGAATTACGTACAGGTGCATAAGGAAGTAAAAAGAGCCACAATACATAAACGCCTTCTGCGGTCCACAGTATAGCCTGAGTTAATTTCCTCGATTTATCATCCCTTTCAATAATTGAATCCACTCCTCCGCCACCGCGACGGCCGCCGCCAGCTCTAGTGGTAAAAACCGGTATCCGACGACCTAATTGTATACTCTTCTTCACTTTAAGCTTCAACCCTAACAGAGAACTTGTCTCGGACAATTTCACATTTCGTCCAAATGCCGAATTATAGTCCCGTCTTCCATGGATAGCAGATTGATTTCCGTATATGAGAGTCTTTGTGCATAGCAGAGTTGCCGCCGGCATTTCCGAAGTTCGCCGGAAAATGGCTTCTGTAAAACGTTCTGGGCCGGAGTTGTTAAGTGAAGTGAGATAAAACTTTCCTTTCTAGAGGATGCAGAGGTGGGGCCGAAAGACACGTGGTGCATAACTGTACACGTTGATACTTTTTTTTTATATTTATTTTTGTTTATAAGTTAAGTTTGTGTTAATTAAAAAAAAGTGATTTGTCATTTTTAAGAGTAGAAATTGACCAAGAGATGAATTGAAAGGTATTTTTAAATATTTTCAAGTAGATAATGTATTTTTTACTAGTATTTTAATTATTTTTCATAAGGATTGAGGGGAGAGATTGGAAGACAGAATGTTTTTTATTTACTTAAATATTTAAGTTAATGTTCACAATAAATTATCTTAGTCACTGAAAATTAAATGCAAGCAAATAAATAAAAGAAAATGTGTTTTTATTAATGGATTTTTTACTACAATTTTGTTATTTTCTTGATTCTTTTCTTCTAAGTTTCTTCGTGATTTGAGGGCCTTCAAAAACGTATTTCTCGAATGTAGGGTGATGTGAATCTTCTTGAGATGTATTTGATCTCCAGAAATTTCAGGAAGTACTTCGTTGTTGCAAGTCGATCTCCGGAAAAACTTCTGTTGATCACTCCTTCGAAGAGCTATCGAGTTGATGTTGTAGCTTTCTCCAATTGCAGAATGCTTGTTGAAGAGTTTTTCTTCTTGCCCTTTGAATGTCATGTTCATCCCCTATTTATAGTTATGAGGGGGTGGACAATGTTGTTTATGATTAGCCAAAGGATGTCATTTTGATACTTGGCGGGTTGTGATTGATTCTTGCATTTGATCGAGATTACTACCTTATTTGAACACATGGAGTCACCTTGTTGGTCTTGGATGCCTAATCACTGTGATACGTGGCATGAGTTTGCGCTTCAAGGTGAAATGGACCTTCGATTTGAATTTAATAAGATGGACCTATTCATTTGTAGAGCCCAAACAAATATGAATTTAAACTAATAAGGATGTATTGAGTAGGGGCAAACACATTATATATATATATATATATCTAAAAAAATAGAATACAACGTAAACATATAATTTATGTGACATTGCTTGAATAAGAGAGCTTTGGAGCCTGATGGTTAGATGCCTTACCAGTGTTGTAAATATTTGGAGGTCAACCCTAAATCAGTGCACTTAGCAATAGTTGAAAGCACAAAATAATCTAAACCGGCTCTAAAAGTGTGAAGGAAACGAAAATTCGATAAATATTTTTTATTTTTTTTTATGTTTGTTTTGTTAAAACTTTTGAAAAATATACTTTCCTATGAAAACAGAGAAAATAACGACAAGTGATATTTCATATTAATTGTCTTATACACCCTCTAACACACCTTATTTTTATTTCATCAATCTTGTAGCCCCCACTTCACCCCCTCCACCTTTTAGAAGTCTATAAATTGAATGTTCAATATTTTTTCACCATTGTCTTTTCACAATTTATAATTAAAGAAATATGGGCTTAAAAGGTAAGTTAATGGCTTCAATAGAAATGAAGTGTGGAGTACACTTGATTCATGACATTTTTCACACAAATGCACATCATATACCCACTATAAGTCGGGCTTTTAATCGATTTGAAATTCATGAAGGTGAAATCATAAAATTTGGTTCAATTATTAGCTGGAATTACAATGATGGTAACACACATTTTTCAACTCTTTCTTTCTCTTACTCACACAATATGATTTACTTTCATCATTTTTCTATATTTATATGTTCTTAATAGTATAAAAGTTATTTTTCACGAAATATTTTTCGTGGAAAAGTTATTTGATGATGTTTGATTACCATCTATATTCCAAGGAGAGGCTTTTGCTTCAACTAAGAAAAAAAAACTTCTTCCACTTGTTGGGGAATTTCTCTCATTTTATGTGACATTTTTCGAATTTCAATATTCAAACGAATCTATCTTTGACCTTAATTTCTATTGATCTTTTAAACATTTTGATATTGTGACCTATAGTACTTTTTTACGTAGTTTACAAATATATAAATTTCCTTTCAAAAAATTTAAAATTTTATATGTAAACTCCCGATCAAATTTAAACTATTTAACTTTTAAAAAATGAAAAGTATCACATTAATTAAATTATTTTTAGTAGTGTGTGTTTTAGGTAATATATCTTTTTTCCACTAAGCAAATGCTAAAAGAAATTTTGCAGAAAAAGACTTTCTCCTTGGAATATTATTTTTGTTATACCAAACATAAATAATTAAATCAAAACAATCATTTTTTTCCTTACTAATTTTTATATCCTCCACAATATCAGCTCCCTTTTCTTTTTTTTTGAGATTTTTAAAGAAAGAAAGCAACATCCATGAAAACTACAAAATTAAAATATTGATGAGCAAAAAAATAATTTTTGAAGAAAATGAGAATGAAAAACGAGGAAAAAAAATTAAATAAGATAAAAATACTATTTTGTAAATGTTTTAAGTCTTCCATGAGGATTAGAGCAATTGAACCAAGAGTAACACATCTCTCGTTTTTTCTTTTATTATTATATAATGATTGTAGGTGGACAAAACAAGATTACAAAGCAAATTATTGAAGACATCGATCCTCATAAGAAATCGATCCGTTGGAAATGTATAATTCTTTTACTATTGCAATATCTTGTGAACGTCAATGATAAAATGGACAATCGAGTACGAAAAAAAAATTGAAGACACTCCAGAACCCCTCAATGAATTGGGTATCATCCAAGCATATAGAGGACCACCTTGTCAAGAATTAAAAGCTCTATCTATCTTTTGTGTGTGTGTTTACACACATACATATCTATGTGTGTTTGTATGATTAATAATTGGCAAGTTTTAGCCATCTTGTGAAATAAATAATGTTTGTGTTTGAATAATATATTTTATGACAAGTCATAATGGATGGGTTTAATGTTATATTAAATAATTAAATTACAATTAGCGATTAAGTGTTATGTAATTAAAAATATTATTTAAATTATTTTAAATGGTTCTCCGTTAATGAAGTGGCCAAAATTGAACCTAACTGTTGGTGTGGAGGATATTTGTGAGCCAATAGACGGATGAGAAGGATAATTTACAGTTCATTTTACTCAATCTTAATTAATTAACATGTGTTTTATTTTATTAAATAACGTAATAATGAATTTTGGTGTAAACACCTGGTGCGGGTAAGTTTTTTCCTTGATGTGTACTATTTTCAATACTTTAAAGATATTTTAGGCAATTTTCCGTAATAATATATATCTTTTTAAAATTTGAAACTACCCCTTGGATTGAAAGCTTAACTCCGTTAATTATTAAAAGAGATATATTAGAGATGTGTAATTCTTTTACTGTTCTACAAGTAACATTCGGCATTGACTGATTTTCTCCATCGTCTAACACATTTTCATCTTTATTCTAAATTATATACAAATTCTTAAAAAATAATATTTATTTATTTATTATGTGTAATATTAACCAAAAATAAGTAAGAAATTCATTTATTTTCCTAAAAAAAATTCTAATAAAATATGTCTTTCATATCTAACACACCTAGAGCCCAATCCTAATAAAATTAATTGGTTGAGTGACCACTTAAAATATAACACGTGTCAATTAAATAAATATGATCCTCATGATTATTAAATAGACACATGTTAAAATTTCAAGGCTAGGAAAATGGAGAATTTTTGGTATTTTAGGTGAGCCAAATCCTATAAGTGTAATAAATTAAGTGTCCACATACACATTTTTCCCATCTTCATCGTTTTTTAATTTGCATGAGTATGCAAAAATTTCATTATAAATTTATAACTAAATTAAAATCTAATTATAAGCACAAATGAGTTAATATGTTGTATAAATAGTGATAATGTTTTGTACTAGCTAGATTCTCACATCTAATTGAATTCTATATAGAGACTACAAATTTTCACCACTTCATTTTCACAACTTATAATTGCAAATATGGGTTTGAAATGAAAGTTAACTATTGCAATGGAGGCAAAATGCGGAGGACACTCGATTCATGGTATAATTCATACCAATACGCATCATGTATCGCTTATTAGTCGTGTTATCAACTAATTTGAGCTTCATAAAGATGAAATTATAAAGATTGGTTCGATGGTAATCTGACTGATGGTAACACATATTTTTTTTATATTTGCTCTCATCAAATATGATTTACTTTGCATTAATTTTCCATATTTACATGTATTTGGTAGTATAAAAGTTATTTGTCATGAAAATGATATTCATAAAAATGTATTTAATGATGTTTGAAAATAACTTCTTTCACTTGTTGGTGATAGAATTTTTTACACATAAACTACCTTAATTAACTTTAAAATTTATTATTTGTTCCAACTAAAACTGAGACATTATTTACTAATATTTAGTTACCTTAAAGATTTGTCAAATTAAATTAATATTATTATTATTATTATTTAATAGTGTATGTTTTATTTAATATATCATTTCACCAATCAAATACTAAAATTTTGTTTTGCAGAAAAATCTTTTTCTTTTTGGAGAAAATATTACTTTTGTTATACCAAACATAAATAATTAAATCAGAATTATAATGTTCTTTCTAATTTTCATATTCTCCATGATGTCAATTTTTCTTTTGAGATTTTGAAAAATAACTTTATTCCCCCAAAAAATATACAATCCAATATTCATGAGCATTAAATAATTTTTTGGAGAAAATTAAATGAAAAACTAGGGGAAAAAATCAAATAATATAAAGATAATTATTTTTCACATACATAATCTGTGTGTGTTTGTGTTTGTATGATGAATAATTAGCAAGTTTTAGCCATGGTTTAAAATAAATATTATTGTATTTGAATAACATATTTTATATGTTAATCCATTTCTATGGATATATTTACAATAATCATGTAGTATGATCCCAATAAATGAGGCCACAAAACTTGAGGTATTTTGACATACATTTAAGTTAAATAACAATGTGCCAAGTAATTAATTATTTACTACATTCTAGAAGATTTGCTTTGGCAAGTAGGGATCTCAATGAATCTTTAAAAACAGACTAAATCAAATCTACAATAGGAAAACCTCATTAAATTAATTCTCGAATAATTAATAACCTTTTTTAAAAAAATATTTTTCTTTAATTTCAATTAGGGTTAATGGAAAAATTACTCCTTTCGATAAGATAATATATTCTTGGAAGACCGATATATAAATATATCTAAGACAGTTTAGCAAAATCTGATCTATTGTGTTCTATTTTTTGTTAAAATTTAAATCTTGTTGAAGTTCATCTCTAACTTTTCTTATTGGATTCAAAAGTTTCGGTGTTGTCTTTATGAACTACACCATAAAATTATGGAGAGTTTTAAATGTTTTAAGTGTTTCTTTACCTGTAACTGGTTTCATGGTTTCAAAGGTAGTTATCATCTTCTACTTTATCATCACATTTTTTTAATGGTATCCACAATTTCATCTAAGCTCTAGACCTCTGAACATCTATCATTTTCGCTCGTCCAATAGGTTATTAACGTTCATTTTATTGTGATAACCGAGATCATTATTCATGATATCAAGTTTAAGAATGACATTTTCATAAGTGGATTCATTTAAATTCTCTAAGATTTCTTCCCCAAACAAATTTTGCGTTGTCGAACATTCTCTAAGATTTCTTCACAAAAAGGGGCTCCGTTGGTTTTTGAAAGAGATATGTCGGAGATGTATAGTTCTCTTACTATTGTAACATATTTTGAAGACACCTCAGGACCCCTCCTTAAATTGGTACAAACAGAAGGTATTTTGTTTAATTTATCATAACATTTTAACTCATTTACGCTCAACAAATGACATTTCATATTGATTGTGTCTTCTTTACCCTCTGACACACCTCATCTTCACCCACCACTAGTAACCTCCATTCTCATCTCCTAAAAAAAAATTCTGAGAAAAATATGTTTTCATACCTAACACATCTTGGGTATCGAAGGTGAGCCAAATCCTTTGAAAAAATATATAATTAAGTGACCACTTAAAACACAACACGTGTCAATCAAATTTATTTGGTCCTCTTGGCCAATTGAAGAGACATGTTAAAATTTCAAGGTTAGGAAAATGGAGAATTTTGGTATTTGAGGTGAACCAAATCTCAAAAGTAATAAATCAAGTGTACCCACTTATTTATATCTTACACATCATATACAGATTATAAACCGTGTTATCAACCAATTTGAAATTCATTATAGAAAATGTGTTTGAGATGTATATTTCTTGGATAATCAATTACGAAAAGAAAACGGAAGACACCTCAAAACTCCTCATGGGATTAGAAGTCTTATCCTTGACACAAACAATGATTTAGAGGATCACCATTTCACCCTCTAATGCATGTTTCAAATTACAACCAAACGGTGAATACAAGTTATAATAATTTATATACCATGATTATTTTCCTTATAGACCACACGTATATGACTGATAACTTGCCCAAAAGTCAAAAACAGAGTTTAAACTATTAAAGTGCAGCTTCATTTTATTTTCGGAATAGATCGAAACACACACACAGAGGAGATAGTGATCATCAAGCAACAAAAACCAGAATTGAAAATGGGAAATGCATGCAATTACCAATAGATATGGACTGTCCACATTGAAAAGGTTATATCTGGGTGAAATGTTCTGAGTCTCAACAAAGGGAAGATTTTTTTTTCTTTTTTGGGGGTTGGGGGTAGAGGGGGGAGGAATTGACAAACTATGTATAAAGATAATCCTAATGAGCTCCAAGCCAATGCTGGGAGAAGAGTAACAAACAGGATAACTAGTTACGTTTTTCCAGTTCACCCCTCTCCAGCACTCGAATAGCTTAGAACCCACACCATATATGAAGATGTTTGCGGTGGGTCAAAGAGAGGGTGGCAAGGGAAGCTACACAAAAGAGCCATCCCAACCCCGATTTCACTCTTCAAACTCGTGAATGTGATCTAAGAGGTAGTTAGCAGCGAGCTCCTCATTTTTGTTGCAGGCAAAGAAAACCTCCAGTACAAGGTCATGATCAAAGCCCATCTGCTCAAGCTGCAAAAAGAGGGGAAATCAAAACAAGTCAGTCCTAAAATAAAGGAAAGATAGCATATAGATACGAAAATACACCACCACCATGTCAGCGATCACTTACACGTTCTATGGCTTCACGCTCTTCGGGTGTTACAGATATAGCCTGTGGCATTGCTGCTGCAAGCTGGCCCAGTACGTTGTTGCTGATATCGAAATAGGGGAACACGAATTAGTACTAAACATAACCTTTGTATCAAAATCATTGAATGTAGAAGGGTGAACATACCCTTCTCCTCCTTCAACAGGCTCATTGATAAGGCGAAGAAAATCAGCCTGGTGCTCCTGTATAAGCCTCATTAGGTGGGGATTCTGCTTGCCTAGCTCCTGAAGCATGGGCTGCCAACAATGGAAACATTGAAAAGAGAACCTACACACAGAATTTTTACAAATGGTCCAAACTAGAGAGGAACTGAGAAGTGAAACCTGCAAAATTTGTGGATTGGCCTGAACCATTGCCCGTAAAGCTTGGAACTGAGAATGACAATAATTAAGATGAACTTAAATAAAATGAACTTTCCAGAATGAAATAGAGGAAGGATTATGCAGGCAGTGAAGGTCGGGAAATTCACACGCATACCTGCTGACTGTTCCTTAGAAAGTCTAAGGTGTTCGCACCAGCAGTATTAGATCCCACACTAGGAAGACCCTGCGTGAACAGAATGTCAAAAGCTTGCCCCAAAATAATTTGCCCCACCCCTCCCCCCTCAAAAGAAGAGCGTAAAAACACGAATTAAACGCTCTACCTGAGGAAAGAGATTCAAGGGATCTGCATTGGGTCCGCCTGCAGGAACAGGTGCTGGTTGTGCTGCA